AACCTNTANATTATATTATGGGAATTANATTTATTATATTATATTAATATATANATATGTNTATATATATATNTGTGTATGTGANAGAGAGANATAGATAGTGTGTGTGTGTGTGTGTGTGTGTGTTTGTAGATATACAAATATATATATATATTTATATGTATGATATATATATATATATATATATATATGTATATATATATGTGTGTGACTGTGTCTGTGCGTCTGTGTGCGTGTGCGTGTCTGTGTGTCTGTGTATGTGTTTATATATATATATATATATATATTGGGGATATATTAGATTTATTCGTATACAAATACATACTTTTACATACATGTCATTATAGATATATATGTCACTTCAATGTATTATTTATCAGCTTTCCGCTTGTAGAATCTGGGCATGAGAACGCAGTGCTCGTGCTCCAATTTTTTCGACTCAAGAAATTGAACGTGATTTGTGTTTTGTAGCTTCTACTCATGCCTACCTCGCTTCTTTGTTCGCTTTGTAAACATCGAAGCATGAAGGAATGATGCAAGACGGCGCTCTAACTTTTGTCCGTCACCCGCCCGCGCGTTCGACGGGTGGCGTACAATAATAACCCAATTCTAATTGTCGCTAAGCAACGTAGCACTGCAATGAGGTCGCTTGCACTGGCACTCGGGCATGCAATAAGGTCATTGTTACTTTGAAAATATTTCGAAGAAATACATTTTACGGGGTATTATACTATTTATATCAATATCACATGGACCCGTCTAAAATTTTATAATATTATACAGAAATTGAAGAGACTATCGGAGACATCTCTATTATTTAAAATATTTAAAGAGGGAAGCCGGAGGAAGCCGCAATATTTAGTAGTCGTTTACAGCTGTATCTAATGCACTAATAACTGTAGTGCTAAGTGATCATAACTGCGTGCACATTACTAGATAAACATACCAAAAGGTAAAAAGACACTTTTTGACAGCAGCGATAAATCAGACAGAATGTTTGTAATCAACCGTTTCACGGGCGACGATGACGGTTCTGCTGAGGATGTCAAACAGCGCAAGTTGCTAGAAGCACAGGAACGTATCGCACAACGGAAAGCGAAGCGAGATGCGATAGAGTTGGAGCGGAAACTAATCTATGACGAGAGAGAGCGGTTAGAAGAAGAGGCACGTGCGCAAGAACAGGCCAGGATAGACAAGATCAAAGGCAAGGGTAAAAAGAAAGATGCGATTAGCAAAGGCTTGAAGTTGGCTAGTGAAGACACGGATGTGGGTGGAATTGGTAATGGTGGAGACGGCAGTATAAGTGATAGTACAAGCGGAAGTGAAAGTGATGAAGAGCCGGAATTAGAGGTGAACGCGACAAGGAAGGTCGTGCCAAACAAACGCAAAGTGGATGCAACCGCTGCTGTAAACGCGATCGAGAACTTGGTCGAGGGTGGAGTGCCTACGAAGGCTCGAAATGAGGAAGATATAGAAGATAGTACAGATAAGACAGGTATAAGGGATACAGAGGAGATCGACGATGAACCGAGAGTTAGCAGTAGTAATGATAGTAGTATTAAGAACAGCAGTAGTAAGAAGCGGGTGAAGGTAATGCCCCGGTGGATGCAAACACAGGTAGTAGTGGATACCGACCTGGCCGACCTACAAGCGCCGGTCAGTGAGGACTGTTTCGAGGGTCTAGCGTTGGATAGCCGTGTTGTGAAGACACTACAAAGGCAAGGCATCACTCACTTCTTCCCCATACAACGACATGTGATTCCGCTGATGTTGAGGGCAGGTCTCTCGCCGGGCACACACCCGGGTGATGTGTGCGTAAGCGCTCCTACAGGAAGTGGTATGTGGTCTGTGCTTGGGGTTGCTGTACGATTGCGTATGTTAGAATTGAAATGTAAAGCAAACGGTGTATAGTTTCTAATCAGTTGGATGGTACAACTGTTTGTGACAATTTGTGTACGTTGCTTCGATATACGATGGAGGCTGTGCATTCTCTTCCTGGACGTATTTAAATTTGTGCGTGTTATAGATACTCGTGTGTACTGCCCATAATTCCAGGTCGGTTAATCTTGTGCAGAAATGTATGCTTTTTCAGGCGGCATATATTTGATATCCCCCGACAGTTAACAATCGCAGTAGCGGCTTGGATTAACCCTAAAACAGTTAAGACTGCCTCTAGTGCCTGTTCTTCCTTCAGCTATGTGACACATATCATCCAGCAAACTCTGCCATTCTCCACGGATTTAGCAACTGCTTTGTTGCACACTTTCTATTGTAGTGCCGGTGTTGAGCTGCCTTGTGAGCGAGTGATGTGTCTAGAGCAAATACTTATACTGCTATCTGTGCCTGTGCCGTTTGGTATCACCCGTTGACATTCTTCACTGATGTCACCATTGCACAAAATTGTCACGGCCGTCTAGGGCAACCCCCACTAACCTACAGATATTCTCACAATATCTGTCACGTGTACAAATATTAATATGCGTTGTACATTGTTCAGGTAAGACACTGGCGTATGTGGTGCCAGTGGTGAGCTGCCTTGCCAACCGAGTGGTATGTCAGCTGCGGTGTCTTGTGCTGCTACCTACACGTGACCTGGCCGAACAAGTGCGGAGCGTGTTCGGCGCCCACACACAGAACACGGGCCTAGTGGTTGCGATGGTTACGGGACTGACACCGTTTGAGAAAGAGAAGTCGATCCTGGTCACGACTGATTGGTGAGTAGTTTGGGTGTCTTATGAGACTCACGTACGTATTGAGTGACGAGATGCGATGGTAGTTGTACCGAGTGATGGATCCTTTTGTTTTCATACGACAATTGGACTGAGTAGTGACTTACAATTGGCTGAGTAGTGACTTTGGGTGGTGATACATGACAATTGCATCGAGTGATGGCGTTCAATGTGTGGATAAGATACACGTACTGACTGATGTCTCCTTGTTTTTTCTAAGACCTGGAAGATGGTTGGTGATGGTTAGAGTACACTCACCTAGCTGTCACCTATGGTGTTTGTATGTGATAATTGTACTGTGAAATATATATGAGTGTATACAGTGCACACGTGGGCAGTACATGTCTAGTGGATGCTACTACTGTAAGGATGCGGCCATGCATGTATAGTGATGAGCTGCGTAGTTGGTAATATGGGGAGGAACTCTTTTCTGTAGTGGAGCAGCGTAGCGAACCGGATCGAGCAGTCTTTGTAGATGCCCACCATCTACTTGGATCCCGATCCCTGTTCAATAAGAAGCTTACATTGTTGCGTATACTGTTTGTGGAGGGTGTAGCTTCATGTGCTATGAGATGACTGCAACGAATTTCTATGAAAGTTATGTGCTAGTGTTTGCGTGGATACCCAATAATCTCACCAACACGTACATAGCAATGTACTTGTGTTTCTGTATTTCTCCACCACTATGATGTCCTACTCGTATTCCCTGTATGTATCCACATTGAGTAGCTGATTTTGTGCGTGTGCGTCGCCTCATGCATATCCCGACAAGCTGAATACCTGGCTATATTTATATATATATATATGTGTGTGTGTGTGTGTGTATGTATGTATGTATGTATGTATGTATGTATGTATGTATATATGTTATATATATATAAAATATATATATATATATAATATATTATATTGTGTGTGCGTGTGTGTGTTTGTGTGTGTAAATATGAGCATGTTCTCGCGTATTGAAATCATTGATTTTTTTGTGTCTGCTGCCCCGACATGCTGTAGCGATGGGCAGGTACAGAGTGCTTGTGATATCCTCATAGCCACCCCTGGGCGTCTGGTCGACCACGTCACAGGAACCAAGGGGTTCACATTGCAACACCTTAGATATTTGGTAAGTCACAGATTCATAATCATCATATTTCGTACAGTATCGTACACGTAGTCTACTGTGTGTCTAGGAACAGCCTTTAGTTCAGGTAGTAAATACTTCGCTCCCCATCGTCCTACATCCGTCGCTGTGGTTGCGGTATGTCCTGCTCGTCTTGCCGAATTGCCTAGTCATCAAGCAGTGGCTGTCCCGACTGACATACTGTTGTCCCTTCGTACATCTGCTGCTTCTCCACTTTATAAATACGCCTGGCTTCTTCATACATCTGCTGCTTCACTTTATAAATACGCCTGGCTTCTTCATACATCTGCTGCTTCACTTTATAAAC